ATCAGTAATGATATCACCATCCATACAATAAAGATTAGTAAATTTACAATCTTTGTTCATGATCGTCTTAATGTTGTTGCTGAAAATAAGTGAAGTTTGAAGTTCATCTGCGATTACATGACTTCCATAAATGTGTGGATACGCCAATCTTTTGATATGGACAACTCTTCGAATTTCAGTTATATTCCATAAAATAATACTATTGCTGGTTTTGCATCTTCCGCTTTGAATAGTGCAGTGTTCAGCATGGCCCAGATCTGAGACCATGCCTTTCCCATCGTATAGTGATAATTGACTTTCTGTGATTGCAAAATTTACCATAGCTTGACATCTTACTCCTATAATGATGACGACAAATAATAATGTACAATATTCCATTGTAGGAATATTGTACATCATTATTTGTCGTCAAAGTACCTGGTGCTATTTGTTTCATGATGATTTCATTGATTTCCTTATGTTCATGTAAAAATTTACAAGTTTGCGATGATATTGCTGAATGGTTGTTTGATACAATACTACAGATAAAGAAAACCTACGAAAGGGTTTGGTACATATCCTCGCGTAATATTGTTGCATCTTATTGCTGGAATTCGTGCATGATGCCTAGTAGAGACCACTATCTTAATCAACGTGGGATTCTGTAGCAATATCTCTTCACAATTCCATCTATTTAATATAAAGAGATATCAGTTGTCGTTTTGTAACCTTTCTTCATTATATAACTGTTTGTCTGACCTTGTAATGATATAGCCATCATTAATAGCAAACTTTGAATTGCCAAACTCAATGTTTACTTTGGACATCCTTCTGGTCGTTGTGTTTCGATTTCCTTACTTGTTGATTGCTTATTGGAATCTTCTGTTGTTGCTCAATTTCTGGATCAATTTCATCATTAACTTCGAACGGATAAAGGACGTTTATCGAACGTTTCAATACGTTGCCGTTAGGCAATTCTATTGTAGCAGTTCATATCTTTCCATTTTTTCCTTTATGAAGTTCCTTTATTCTGGATAGTTTCCACATCGTGGTGTTTCAGGTTCACTTAGTACAACTATTTCGTTTTCGCGCGGTGATCTAATTTCGACCCTCTTGAGAGATGTCATTTCTCGCTGAGAGCGTTCTCTTAGACTAGTTCAGTACTCCGTTCTCCACATCTTCCAGAATACATCTAAGGTTTTAAGAGTATTTGACCAATATTTAATAGCTTTGTCTTTGGTGCTTATGTCGGGAAAATTCTTCATTCTGTAAGTTTTCATCTTCAATCGGTAAGATTAGTAACATTAGGTAAAATAAAATTTATAGGACATCGAACAGAGTAGTTGTCAAAGTTTGTGCAGGTTAATGGATGAGTATTAGATATACTTTCCAAAGGAAAATAACTATGGCCTTTCTCATTACTTGTTTTGTTAATCCAATTATTCTTTCATAAATGCCGCCTTCCCATGGTGATCTAGGTGTTTGCTGCTAAGAAGTTGACATTTTGTTAGTTGAAACTAGTGAACTGAGTAGCATTGTCGCTTAAAATCAATTTGGGGCATCCTAGTCGGCCAATAAATCTTCTTAGTAAAAGTAAGAAAGCCTTAGCAGAGAGATTCTCAACTATTTCTAGATGTACCGTGTCTAGCCGTAAAACATGTTGACAAGGCAATCCATCGTTTTCCTTTGCCAATTTTTAGTAATCCAATCCAATGTATTCAAATGTTCGTGAACGTTTAACTTGTGATTCTGGTAAGTTTGCCATAGCACAATTTAAATGGTTTGGAAATCCAACGTTTGCAGGCCATACAGTGATGTAAAACTCGCTTTAAAACTCGTTATACCCTTTGGAATCTAGTACGCATTTCTCATTGTTGATAACGACTCCATATGATGCAAATTTTCGTGATAGTACATTGTAAGGAGCTCGGTTATTATGTTGTGTCTGTCTGGGTACATAAATGGGGTACTTATTGTTTTTATTTAGTTCCGAGCTCATCATAATAAAGATATCATTTAGCTATTTCACCGTCGTTGCTTGTCTGATTAGCATTCGTCGAACTATGACAACTTCCTTCACTGTTGAGTGTGATAAGCCTTCCGAGATCGGGTTTAACCATTCGAATTTTTTCCTTGTTATATGCGTTTGATAAATCTGAGCGTAAAAATGGTTACTTTTTATTAGTTTAGACCATTTACTGAATCGGCTTGCGTCTATGAACGAAAATTGTTGTTTCTTGGCCATTTGAGT